AATTTCTGATAACCCAAGCAGTATTTGATGCACGCGATTTAATTGATTCCAACTGATTTGGACCCTGATTTTATATTAGGAACATGCGAAAGCGGAAAATAAATTTCTGGGGGTCCTGATTGGTCAACAAAAGAATATGACGAAAACGGCTGCTGAAAAATGTCTATCCCACTCGCACATTTTGATATAGAAAATGTGCGAGTGAGATAGACATTTTTCATATAGAATTTATATAGAAAAAGTGCCTTTCTGTCACAAATAATCATCGATAACAAATAATTTTTAAATTCGTTAAATCGATTCCCAAGCTTTAGAGGACTTTAAGGTACAATCGCTTCGCATTTAAGGCCATAAATCCGTGCGATAAAAAGAAAGTCAAAATCATCAGACTAATCCATGTTGCCTGTTAGGTACGCTACGAGTTGGAGGAAGATTGTCCAGAGCCAACATTAATTATGACCGTAAACACCCTTTACTTTTGCCGTCAAAGTCTCATTTATTACGTCTTCTAATTAAGCGGGAACATTTACGGTTGTACCATGCTGGATCTCAAAATACGCTAGCAAATTTCAGATTGCGATTTAGGCCAGTCGACGGTGCGAGAGAAGTTAAATCAGTTATCCGCAAGTGTCTGAAATATTTAAAGTTTTAAGTTAAACCATTGACACAGTTCATCTCGGACCCTCCAACAGAACGTGTCACCATGTCAAAACCCTTTACTTACATCGGAGTAGACTTTGCTGGGCCTTTTCAATTAAAACCATCTAAATTTCGTTATAGAACCATTTTAAAGGGTTACATGGCTCTCTTTGTCTGCTTTTCGATCAAAGCAGTACACTTGGAAGTCGTCTTTAGGCTGTCGACCACATACTTTTTACATCCTCTTCGAAGATCTATTGCTCTCAGATGCGTCAATGATATTGATGGGGACTATGGGACAAACTTTCAAGGTGCTTGTAACAACCTCAGAGAAATTTTCACGTTTTTTAAATCTCCCGAAAACAAGGCAAAACTCAGCGATTTTTTAGACTCGAACTAAATCATTTAGAAATTCATAGCAGCCGGAAGTCCACATTGGGGTGGCATTTGGGAAGCTGGTGTGAAAATTGCGAAATATCACTTAATTCGTGTAGTAGGGGATGCTGTGTAAACTTACGAACGGTTTGCAACAGTTTTCGCAGAGGTGGAGGCCATTATAAACTTACGACATCTGTGCAAATTATCCAATGATCCTTCTGATCTTTCGCCATTTCATTATCAACTACAATACTTGTGGAATCTTGTGATGCGAGGAATAAAATAAAAGATTATCTGCAATTTGTGTAGATGACAAGGATTTTAAAGGACAAGTAAAAAGTAAAGTAAAGTTAAAGGACAGGTAAGTTGGGCATACTTCGAAAAACTATCAATAATGGTTAAAAAAATAACTATAAGTATCTAAATAAATTATTTCGAAAGGATTTGTTGCAGTTGGTGTAATATTATACTGCATTTTGATAGGCTTTCTATCGTACTTACTTCCTTGACAAATTTCACAGCCACTGATATAAGCATGGATAGATTTTCTAAAGTCTGGTCAATAATATTTCGCTTTAATTTTATTAATTGTTTCACCGATTCCTTGATGGTTTCATTTTGATTCGTGGTAATTTTTTATAATATCGTTAACGTCATTTTTGTCGGATGCATCCACTAATTTGTGTAAACATCGTTTTAGTTTGAGAGATGGCCATTTAAATGTTTTTCTAGTAACTTCAGAAAAAGGTTTATAAATGTCGACGTTTTCGAAATACATATAGTATAATTTATCAGATACAACATACTCTCTAATTAGATTAATGCCATCTAGATCAAAATTATCTTTCGAAATTTGTAAAATTATTCTTCTTTTATTTCCAAATAAAATGTGTACTTTCGGATTAACCGGTGGATGCAAAACGTACTGAATTATGATTTGATTAGAACCATAATTAAGAGCTGTATCTATAATGGGAATGCCGACTGTGGGATTTTCGTCTGCATTTGAATGAACTGTGACATCATCATCACCTGGAATTCTCAAATGTTCGTCGTCCGCTTGGGCTAGTGTTGATATTTGATCTATATCATCGTTATCGCGATGGTTACATACTTTTGAAGTTGAAGGTTGTGACTGCAAAGATGTGGGGTTACGAAATTGTAAATTTAGATGTTTGCTTGCAGTTTCATTAACAAATCCATATAGGTCGAAAGAATCGCTTGTTTCCTTTGTAAGAATTTCTTCACAACGTAGGAAAATAGTGATACTATTAATATCTGATTTAGTTTTATGAAAGGAAAGTTGAATCATATTGAAAGGTGTGGTTAACTATCATGGACCAAAATTTAAATTAGTTTGAAGTAGTTTTAAATGATCAAGTCCAATTAAACCATCAAATACATTGTGAAATTTAAATAAATAAAATTTAAATTTTCTTGGTTTGGCCAACTGAAATATATAATATAACGGTTGAAATTATGAATGGATCAGTTTTTACAAAGTCTGGGTATAAATTGAATGCTAACTCGGGGTTTATAAAGGATTTAGTGGATCCAGTGTCAATTAAGAATTTGATGTCATGTTCGGGAAAAATTATGTATGGCAGTTCACTTGAACTACTTGTGTTTAAGGAAATCACTTGTGTTATTTCTCTTGATTTTCCTGAGAAGATTTCCGAAAAGTTTGTTCTTCAATTTCATTGACATCTTGAGTTGATATTTCAATAAAATCAGTGTGCCAAGTTGGATCATATTGTAGATGCATAGCATATTCGAAACTTCCGTAGAAGTCACTTGGATATTCATAACTTGTGTTTTCAAATTCTGTATTTGCATAGTCAGTTTCTGTGTTGCATAATTCTTCAAACGCAAATTTTGGTTGATATTGTTGAGAATGTCCCGCAGTTTTATTAGGTCTGTAAGATTGCTTGTTTGTTAGGAAATTGACGATTTTGGTTTGAAAACAACAAAAGGTTTGAAAAAATATTGTGGAACTGGTGTCTTTCCGAAAACTTGTGAATTGGTGAACGGGCTTGGAGGTCTATAATTGGGAAATTTGGTTGTAAATTTATGATGAAAATTATTTTGATTTAAATTAACGCATTTGAATGGCATCGGTCAGAGAGTTTGGTCTCATACACCTAATTACTGTGCCCAAAGGTTCTCTGAGCACGAATAAAAATGTCTTAAGTGTAACTTTTTGATAGAGGAAGTTGTTTAAGCATGACCAAGTCTCTGTTTAAACAACTTTCGTCTCGTTTGTCTGCAAAATTTATATTTAATGATTCGTTTACTTCAGCCCAAGTTGAAACACCTTGAATATTAATAACCAATCTTGCATTGCCAGTTAATTTGCCAATTAGTGGATTTAGTAAATTAACATTTTGAAAATTATTTGGGTTGGTAGGGTCATAAAAGTTAGAAATTTAGGAATTTATGGTGGTACTGATCAAACGTGTTCTCTGTGATGGTAATCATCCTGCAAATTATAAGGGATGCACTGTGTTCAAAGAGCTCCAGAAAAAAACTTTCCTTCCTTTGAGAATCAAACAACCAATAAATTTTGCCACGAACATTTTATTTTATAAGACTCGGCTTGGCATATCATACGCAAATATACTTAGAGGACAGTCTCAACACACAAATCAAATAAATCAACCAGTAATAGAACAAGAAAATACTCAACTTAGAAACTCAGTAAGAAACATCCAAACAAATATCCAATGGACATACGTTAGTTAAAAAATACTACCCAAGGGCTCCTGCAACAAATGAGTACCCTGGCAAACTTAATAACAACTATTGTCTCAAAAATTACCCTAAATGGTCAGACAAATTAAACTAGCAGCTTGGAATGCCAGTGGCTTAGCCCAGCATACATGCTGCAGATGCCCAACATAATGCTCATTTAAGAAACGCATTTTACTAAAAACATTACTTTCAAATGCCTAAATACACAGTGTACGACACACAACATCCCGATGATCCGGCACATGGAGGAACCGCCATAATTGTAAAAACCACTATTAAGCATCACCTGCATACAAGATATAGAAAAGTACACATACAAGCCACTACCATAAGCGTCCTAGACTGGGATGGACCAATAATCATCTCAGCTGTTTATTGCCACAAGCGGAGAGCCCCAGCGCACGGCATAATGGCACCGTTGACGTATCGTGACCTGACCTTTTGTGGCAACCATCAGATTTTCTTATATTTCTTCTTGATATTTCCAGAACCAGAAAGTTATACTTAAATTCTCACTAAGTGCACTCTAGCAATTTTCTTTGGGAAAAATCACACATTATCATGGTATTCATTCTAAGCTAATGTAATGGACCACTTCTGACATAAAAAAATAAGTATAAATGTTTTAAAATTCTTTCTGCAAGTGATTCACAGTATGCATCACCTTATAACGCTCCTATATCACGAAAACGGCAACAAGTGAAATCACATTCACCACATTTTCAAAGTTATAACAGTGATTTTGAAATCACGCTTCAGCTCATCTCTAGTTTTAAACATGGGTCACCCTGCCCAAAACGATAAAACAAAACCAAATGTGGTTAAACGATAATCCGATACCGAACCGCTTTGCATCTGCCCTCGGAGCCCTTAATATTAAGTTTTAAGTAAATTGAGTCTTAAACGCTTAACATGATTTTGCGCATTAAAACATTCAATTAGAAACCAAAGCGGTGAACAAGTGTCACAATAATCAAACAGCACTTAAAATGTGTGTTCTAAAATATTTCAAAAATTGTTTTAGGAGATAATGGAGAGTTATTTCGAAATCTAAAAGGTTATTTCTCCTTGAATTTTCAAGCTATATGTAATTCCAACTTGGCATTTACAGATATTATTGTGGCTCGTTGACCAGGACATACGCATGACTCACATATTTTTAATAACTGTGTTCGTCGTGCCTTGTTTGAGCAAGGAAGGCACAAGGACGCAGTTTTGTTGGCAATGCGGGATACGCTTGTAGAAACTACTTAATCACTCCTCTACAAGTTTGTAGATCGCCAGCAGAGCATCTTTACGAGTCACAAATTAGGACAAGAAACCCATTTAAACGACTGTTTGGTGTGTGGAAAACGCGGTTTGCGTGTATCGCTTTAGGACTACGCGTAAACTTAAACAACTCGTTCGCTATCATTATAGCAACAGTTGTGCTACACAATATTGCTCGTCAGGCAAAAGAAGATGTTCCCATGGACGACCCAAATGTCTTCTTGCCAACTACATGGGCCGCTTTATTACGGCAAGAACAAACTCCAGCAGTGGCTGACGAACCACCTGTTAAACCACATAACAGAAGACGACGAGACAATCCTAATCAGCGGCGCCGCCAAGCTTTAATTGAAAACCACTTTATGATGTAAGTGTTTTAAAACTCCTATAAAAACTTACTTCTCCCTCCTCCTAAAACGTAAATGTACCATTGTGAAAATTTATTAATTTTTAAATTTCAGGTTGGCTACACGAGATGTTCAAAATAAAGAGGAAAGAGCAGGACAATAAAATTCATTGCATTGCATGAATTGCAACAATGATTACAACCTGGATGGAAATGTTTCCATTAAAATAGAGACGTTATATTTATATCAACAAAGTTTGATTATAAAGAGCGACATTATATTATATAGCGACAAATATATGTATTTATTTATTCTGGTTTATTCTGGTACTATGATGTTTAGCTTTTTGAGCTCTGCCTCCAAAATTTCTGTGCGAATTTTTTCGTGCCTCAGTTTTTCTTTTTCTTGCTTTTCTCGCAACAGCAATATTCCAATATTAATTGCGTGCTCTTCAGCACACTGCTGTTCGGTTTCAAGCAAAGTTTTTAACTTGGCCTGAGCTAATAAATTGGCATCTTTTTGCTTTATTATTGGCCTCATCCATGTTATTGGTTTTACAGTTGTGCAACCTGACGAATCGATAATTTTGCTCGTTGATGGCGAAAACCCATTTTCGGGTTTTGCAGTTTCTGAGCCGCTTCTCAATTCATGCATTTCGACGCCTTGCCTCAAAACGGTAGCGCGAAGTTCCTGAGTTGTTGGCTGGAAAATGTCGACCAACTGCCATTTGCAAGTTTCTACAATAGAAGAACTAGGTATATATTTTCAATGATTATCGCGATATCAATTCATTGAAAGTAAAGCCACATTACAATATGACTTCATTATTCCAATGAATTTCAATTTTCATTTTCATTTCTAATCAAATTTTTTATATTCCGAAATAACCACGTTTTACCTGTTTCTCAGGTGGTCCCGGCTTTAGCTCGTTGTTTCCACCAACATAAAATTCACGAGCCTCACATGCTTCATTTTCAGTCACTGAAAGAAAACGAAGTTACTTTAATCATCTGATAAAATAGTTTATAATAAAATGTATCTTGCTTACAAATGTCATATTCTACATTCTCTTCAAACATGACATCGCAGTCAAATTGATTGGCCAAGTTTTCCATCTTGCCTCAAAGCAAAGCTAGCATTTGGTCAACAGTGGATCATACTGATCTTTTATGATCGGTCCACCCCCTATAGAAAATTTACAGACAATTGAAATAATGTTTTTGATTTTAAACGGTTGGGTTAAAGTTACTGTTAAAGAACGTTAAATTACGTACCTGTAGCAATGCGATCTTGGCGTTGTTTGGTCCAGACAATTTTTTTTAAATTGTCCCATAGGGTTTTTAAAACCACCCACTCCCTTTCTGCTCCTAACCCTGCAGCATTAAAAACTTGAGCGATCTTCGCCCATTCTTCGTTTTTTCCACGGACGGTTACTGCGTCAGTTTTTTTCGATTCCACCACAGCAAAATGTTCTTCAACCAACTCCACTAACCTTGCCTTTTCGCATGGTTGAAATGGAGAGGATCTTTTCCGCTTTAACGCTATAATGGTCTTATTCTCCATTTTTCAGGAAAATGCAATTACCGCACGCGTACACACCACATAATTCTCACAGTACAATAGGTTATAGCAAAGATAAAGACTGAAACTGAATTATATTTATAGCAAACAGGTTGCAATTAGTCATCTTTGGTTTTTGATGCCAGTGAATTCAGGTTTATAATCTGCGTTTCATTAAACGCAGTTTGAAAAACGTGTCGTAGCGCTGGTGAAAACAGCTTGTCGTTAAGGGTTTAATTTCGCCGTTTAACAGAAACTTAGTTTCGTTGAAACTGCGTTTCGCTTGCTTTTGATAAAAATGGGCCTTAGGCCGATAGAGCACATCCGATGACTTTGTACGTTGTACAAAGTTGGACGATGTACAAATTTGCAGATAGATCGGGCGTGGCGTTCTCCTTAAACGTCTAATCCGCCGTCGACCGTGAATCACCCCGTATATGGTCTGGCCGGCATATATACGGCCTGTAACATATATATCGTATCAAGTTATCCTACTTCAGGACCTATCCTACTCCGGAAACTCTATTTCGTTTCAAAATGGGCAAGCATAATTATATTGTAAACAAACCATTGGCTACATGTCCTGATCGGGTTCTAATAATTTCTGGTATTTGGAGGCATTGAACCAGCCGCGAAAAATGTTCCTTCTGAAACCAAAAATTGACAAGGCAGTTTGCAACAACAGGTGGGTCATAGATGTCGTGTAAAATTAAGCCTCTTATTAAATGGTGATCCACATCTCCTTGGTTATTCCGGCGCTGAAACGCAGCTTCAATGTTTTCTTTCAGTTTAATAACAGTACAAACTTAAACAAGCTTTGAAACTTTTGCAAACAAAACGGGATAAAGAAACAATAAAGTGACGTTTAATTTATTAAGAGTGCGACAAACGCGGTATCAAAAACTAAAAAACGCACTTAACGTTATTTGACTGAACACTTTATTTTTTAAACACTGCGCATGATCATAATAACGGTTAGCGTTTAAGGCCAACGTACTTTTAAAGGGCCTAAAAACTCTCTATTAACATGATCGCGGGATAATTACTGAAAACAAAAATATAAAATACATTTTGTTTAACTTGAAAAACACTTAAGGGTTTTTACCTGGGTTTATAATTACTGGGAGTACAAATTTAATATACAGGTTGTCCCGACAAGGATCAAGAGCCTCTGTATCCTGACATCGGTAAGGACTAGCGGTTTCGGGAAAAAATCTTTATAAGTAAAGTTGGTATAAAAAATGGCTGGAAAACGTATTAAAGTTCATAGATCGCCCGCTAGTAGGGGTAACCTGTAACACAACACCCAAGAGTCTTGGTACCTCAGAACAGGGGCAGATGAGCGATAACTTTAAAAACGTCATTTGAGAGCTTGTTTATCCCTGTGACTTGTATTTATCATAATAAGAGACTGGAAGGCTCTTGCAGTTTTCAGTATTTAAATTTTAAATTCTCCTGATCCACTTAACCGATTCCACTATTTTTGGCTTTGTTTGAAAGATAATTTTAATGCCTTTTAAAACACATTTTTCGTTAAACCGTTTGGTTTGAAACAAGTCAACTACAGGACGTTTTCTGTTGCGATTACACATTTTTGTGATTTTTGACAATAGTTAAATGGGACAATACTTTTTATTCGACACACGCGTTCACAGCCGACATTCTAGTGAAAACCGCATTGTGATATCTTCAGTCGTTCTCGATTTATAGAAGAAAATGTAAATATTTTTAATTCGGAAATCGGATCAAGTTGACATAGTCAGAAACAAATCACGTAGCGACGTAGCAATGGTAACTGCTAAATTGAAAAGATCGCTAATTAGGTAAGAATTGTCAACAATTAGTTCTTAGAGTTTCTACAGAAAATATTGTTAACGTTTTGGTCTACGTGCAATACGATCCAATCTTAAGCACGAGAAAGATATCGGACGACCTGGAAGTTCCAAAAACAATTATGCTTCAAAATAATAATATGCATCCCTAGCACATTATTTTACACCAGGCATAAGTAATACTGATTATGATAGTTGTCTGTCACACAAGTTATGGACCGACGAAGCCACTTTCAGTAGCGTAGGGGGTGTGAATTTGCATAATATGCATTATTGGTCCGAGCAAAACCTAGGTTGGCTGCGGCAACTAGAACACCAAAATGGCTGGAGTCTGAACGTATGGTGCGGAATCGTAGAAGGAAAAATTATAGGACCACAACTTTTTAACCAAACTTTCTTTTCCACCGCTTTTGGAAGATGTATCCTTGCCAATAAGAAGGGACAGGTGGTTTCAGCTTGATGGTTGTCCGGCGCCTTTTAATCGAAACGTACGTCATACATACATTTGGACGAGAAATTTTCAAATTGAGTTATTGGAAGGGAACGTCTGTTTCTCTGGCCAGCGCGTTCGCCAGATCTTACTTGCTTAGATTTATATTGATGGGGTATATTAAAAGACCTAATTTTCCAAGACAAGCCCACAACCAGAGAAAATATAATGGGAAGAATTTAAAATGACGAATGTCTCTGAGATTGAAGCAGGAGTTTTTTTCTACGAAAATTAGAATAAATAAATGCATTGAGAATTATTTTTGGGCAAACATTTTGAACAGTTGTGACATGTTTTGGCTTCACTTTGTGTGCGTAATTCTAAGACTTTGAACTGTTATTGTTTCATTGTTATTATTTGTGCGTACGCTTCAAAATTTCAAAAAGTGTAGTAAAATGTTTCAAAAATCTACATTTTAAATAAATAATTTACATTTTTTCATAAATCGAGAACGACTGGAGATATAACGATGTGATTTTCACTGAACTGTAGGTAAATTAAACTTGTATAAGGGCATGTCAAATGAAGAGTATAGTTCCATTTAACCATTTTCAAAAAATCACAAAAATGTATGTTTTATTTTTCTTGATCCTTGAAAAACAGCCAGGGAAAATACAAGGTTTTGAAAATATTGCCAAAAAAGTCATCCAGCAGTCAGAGACAAACTGTTAAGCTGCCAGAAGAAAAGTTTATTTAATAATGGGAGAAAAGGTAAATTGTCAGCGGTAAATGTGACTCTTTTGCTGTTGAAACCAATGGTGAAACTACGTACAGAGACGGATTCAGAAGATTACGGATTACGGATACGTTAAAAACAATATAATTTAAATGTGCTGCACGGGACTTCCTAAACGCCTCAATGCTTTGGAGGTCATTTCGAATTACTTTTTGGCACATTACTTGTAATTAAAACAATTTTGTTTAATCAGAGCGTAGTTTTGTCTTTTAGCTATTTGTTTTTAATTTAAAACAAAAATATGTCTTTTGGTGGTCTTATAAGGTTAACTTTATTAGAACAATTGGTAAATGGTCTTGAAAATAAACTTTATTTTCCTCCACAAACTCTAATAAATTTTCAACTTGTTTGCGGGTTGTTTTTTTTGCCTCTTATGTGCATGCTCCATTGAAAGCGTTTGAAAAGATAGGTCAAGAACAGTAACGAACGAAATTGAAAGTGAATGCAAATCATAAACAAAAACAAGAATGGTAGTAGGTAGGCCAAATGGTCAAAACGTGCACATGTGGTGCATATGTTTTAGAAGCTTCGATGGTTTTATGTTAACTCTGTCTCTAACTAATAGACTATTCGTATAAGGGCATCTCACTTTATGCATCCAATATTTTCTTCCTTTTTAACGTTTAATGGATAACTGGGTCGGAAACGCATACGTTAATT